AACCATTTTCTTGGAAGAATTGCCTCTGTGCACTGTCTGTAGTTTCCCATTTTCTACTGAACTCATCCTGGATAGGCTTTTGCCCTCCGGTCACCCGAACTGCTCTCGTTAAGACTACCGGTTGGTATCCCCTTGCTAAGCCCTGAGGTCAGGTCTCCGTCTCCCTTTCTGCTTCCCTCAGCAACGTCTTACACCGTCAGTCACTCCCTCCTCCTTCCTGGACTTGAAGGGCTTCAGGGCACACAGCTCCTCTCATCAACACTTGGCTTTTGGCTTGACCAGGGTTCAAGCCTTCCAACGCAGCTCCCCATGTCTGTGTGTGTGGCCTCCAGCACCCCCTAGCCTCCTGACTTGCAGCCAGTGGCCTCCTGGTTCTCTAGTCCAAAGTGTTAGGGAGACCCCCCTCATCCACACCAGCCCACCTCACCTCTCACCCTTCCACACATTGAAACCCACCCTCTTACTGCACCCTCACCCCCACCCCTTCATCTCCCCCAACACTGTCCTTTTATTTCCTCTAAATTTATTCCAACTTTAGGACTTTGTACTTACTGTTGCTTCTGCTTTGAACTCTTCCAGACTTTCCTTGTGTCTGATCTTTCCTCATCCCCAGGGACTCAGGCCCAGTGTCCCTCTCTGCCCGCGGCTGTCTAGTGTGCCCTCGACTCCACCCCATCCAGCCACCCTCTTTCACATACTCCTGAGTATTTTCTTCAGCGCTCTCAACACACTTTCTTTTCAGCAACGTCCTTTCCAGCACTCCGTCACTATTGGACTTGTTTATTTGTGTGCTTCATTAGCCTTGGCTGGCATGACCTATGTGTTATGGCCCATGGCAGATACTTAACTGCTACTTAAATAGACAAAGACAGGAATGGATGGATCACACAAGCCCCAGTGTTGGGAACAAACATCCACCTCCTACTATCCCTCCAGAGAGAAGCTAATGCATCATTCATTTATAAAACACCCACTCAATTTTGTATACCAGCTCTACCACTTGCTAGGGTAACATTTTATGCATCCCAAGGTTGCTGCCCGGATCAGAGGAGTTCCTACAAGAACTGTGGCTATTACCTATTTGCCATTGTTATTATGACTTGGAGCACAAATGGAACCAAGGCTAGAGAGGACCCTTAAAAGAACAGGTAGTTTCTGCTTAGAATTCACTTATGTTCTTCCCCCTGGCAAACTTCTACTCACCCTTCAAAAACCAGCTCAAATATAATCTCATTTTTTTCTAACTGATTAAAAGTGAGACTTTATTGAGCAACTACTGTGAGGCAGGGTCTGGGCTTGATTCTGTGATTTCAGGAGAAGCAGAGACAGGCTGCTTTGCCCAAGCTCAGGATGACCTGCAGAGAAGGCAGATGATGACCTGGGGATGGAGGGCACTCCGGAGAAAATAATGCTAGGATAAAGAAGCATGTGTCAGGCCAAGACCTGCAGAAGGAGACTCGCTGGAAAAGCTCAGAGCCTCCTCTCCCACTTCCACCCAACCCCACTGCTTTTCTGGGAACTCTGCTGCTGGTAGGGGTGGAACTTTAATTATTCCAAAGCCTAGTAGATGCATTTCACTTCACTGAGTCTCACCCATCAGCGGGAGGCTCTGAGAGCTCAGTAACTTGGCCAAAAACCAACAGCCACGGAGGGCCTGGGATTCCAAGGCCCTCACCTGCCCTCGCCCCGGCACGAGTCTTCTGCTCTCTGGCGCCCCCAATTGGCCGTCGAGGAATTGGGGCCGTGCGGTCCCACTTGTGTCCCCGCCCAAGCCCGGCTGCAGACAGCGGCCTAGCCTGGGCCCCTGCACCCCTGAGGAACAGCGCGGCGCTCCTGCAGCTCCCGGGAGGGGTCCTCGGGAGCGACCGGGCGTCGTCAGCAACGTCCTTTCCAGCGGCAGCGGCCCGCCTCTCTCCCTGGGGTCCTGGGGCGGACCAGCCAGGCCGAGCCCTCACCAAGCTGGCCGCCGGCCCGGGGAAGCGAACGGGAGCATTGCGCCCGAGCCACAGTGCGGCCGAGCGCGGAAGGGGTGTCGCCTGCGGATCACCCAGAGGACAGAGGGGGGGAGTTCCTCGGTGGGGGGTGAGGGGAGGCGGGAGCAGTGCGGGCAGCAGGAGGCCGGGCGTCGGGTCAGACGCGCTGTCTGGCTCTGCGCCTGACCTTCCAGGGCCAGCGCGGGGCGCAGCAGGGGCGGGAGCGCGGGCAAGGACCCGGCCCCTTCGCATGCCCCCAGCCTGTCCTTCCCGCGCCGGGCGACCCGCCCCCAGGCCCAGGGCCTGGCTGCTCGGGCTCCAAGCCCGACGGACGCCCGTTCGGGTCCAGGCTATAGGAGGGATCCGGCGCGGGGCGGAGGGGCAGTGTTCCTGCGCTGTCGCCGAAGATGTCGGGAGCCATCTTCGCACCCCAGGAGGGCCCGGGCTCCCTGGACGCGGTGAGCGGCCACCCGCTCATATGCCCGCTGTGCCACGCGCAATACGAGCGCCCGTGCCTGATGGACTGCTTTCACGACTTCTGTGCCGGCTGCCTGCGCGGCCGCGCTACCGACGGCCGCCTCGCCTGTCCTCTGTGCCAGTGAGTGCCTCCAAGCCCCAATAGAAACCCACACCCCCCAAGAAATTGGCTACACCTGGGCGGAGACGTAGGTGCATGAAGGGTTAGGGATCTCAGCGCTGCACCCGAACACTTCCAGTAACTCACTTGTAGGGGGTGGGGTGGGGGAGCTGAAGTCTCAGGTTATGTTGGCTCAAGTTACGGGGTGTGGGGGGGTCTAAATTTGCCCAATGCAGCGACAAGGATTGAAGGGGGGCCTTTGATACCCCATAGCCTCCCAGGGTTTGCCCAGGACTGGGTCGTGGGAGGGACAGGGTCGGAGACACACTCGCTGAGGTATTTATAGCAGATGCCAGGCCTTCAGCACCCCACCCTCCCTCTCTATTTTTAGTTTCAGCCTGGAATGTGGCGGTGGGAATGGAGGTAGGGAGCCATGGGGAAGGGGCATGTGGGTCCTGGCTGCAGCTTCTCCGCAGACACCAGACGGTGGTAAAGGGCCCCAGTGGGCTCCCTCCTGTGGATCGGCTGCTGCAGTTCCTGGTGGACAGCTCAGGGGATGGCACGGAGGTGGTACACTGCGCCAACTGCGACCTGGAGTGTGGCAAGCAGGCAGGGACACCTGGGGGTGTGGTGGGGAGCCAAGGGCACCAGATGGTATGGTCCTGGTGTTTGCAGCTTATGCCCACAATGTCCTCAGAGAATTAGCCATCAGTGGATTCTCTAACATGTCCCTAAGGCACCCTGGGTCCCATATGTGGGTCCATTTTACAGGTGGAGAGACTGAGATCGAGAACAAGCGACTTGAGCTAGATAGGGGCAAAGGTTAAAGCCATTCAATTTAGGAAGAGCTTACTGACCCCAAATTCAGGGTGGAGTTGTAGATGGATACAGGAAGGGCAGTCCAGTGCATAGGCCTAAGCTGGTCCTTGAGGGGCCACTACCTGGGCAGCTGTGAGCAGCTCCCTACAGCCCCAGGGGAAATGAGGACAGTGTGCTGTTAGGAGGCCAGGAAAGACTGGGGTGCAGGGGTGAGGTTCAGGCTGGGCCATGGCAGGCATGTGGGACTCTGGCCCTTGGAGGTTGGATGGTGTATCTGAATCCCAGGAGAACAGCCCTGTGGGAATTAAATGTCTCGATGTGTTGGGCAAGTGCTAGGGTATGTATGACCCAAAAGTGCAGAGATGACCATCAGGAGGTGAGGGCACTACAGTTAGGGAGAGCAGGGGAGGACATGGCCTTGAATGCCCAAGTAAGGAGTTGGTGGTCTGTGCATTCACAGCTATTGCTGGGGTCAATGCCAGGACTGCAGCCCAAGACCTGGACTCCCAGCCCTGGGTCTGGCCTGGGGAAGGGAAGCCAAAGCCCCTCACTCCCTTCCCTTCCCATCCAAGTTGTGACTCCAAAGGGCCAGGGTGGGCACTGCCATTTGGCCACTATTGAGGGTTCCAAGGAGGGCCGGAGAGGCCTTCACACATGCATTTTTGTTGTAGGTAAAATGTTTGGCAAATATAGTTTCTGCCCTCCCCCCGCCCCTCCCCCAATGTACCTGACTCCCCAAGCCCATTCCGGTTACCTGCCCCTTAGGGCACTTCCTTACCTTCTCTCTGAGCCCTGTTCTCGTCTGAAAACTGGGCATATCAGAGCGTCGGGATTAAAGGAAGGAGCTGCATTTAGCTGCGCGCCTGCCCCAGGCTGGGACTGACGCGCTGTGACACGCAGAGGCTGCCGTTCCCAGGCGGGCTGTGTTGGGGCTCAGGTTCCCCGCCGGTGGGCGCGCTGAGCCTGCGCTCGGCCCCTAGGATGCGGAGACCACGTACTTCTGCAACACTTGCGGGCAACCGCTGTGCGCACGCTGCCGCGACGAGACGCACAGAGCACGCATGTTCGCGCGCCACGACATCGTGGCCCTGGGACAGCGAAGCCGCGACGTGCTCCAGAAGTGTAGTGAGTGCGGCGTGCTGGGTTGGTACCCGGGCCTGTGGCTGCGTGGGGACGCAGCACCCCTCACCACCGCCCACCTCTCCGCAGCCCTGCACGCGGAGCCCTACATCATGTTCTCCACCGACAAGAAGTCGCTGCTGTGCATCCGCTGCTTCCGCGACATGCAGGGGTGGGTAGAGGCAGCGGCAAGTGAGGGGGCTGGAGGGCGCCCTGAAGCGGGGCTCATCCGCAGCTCCCCGCAGGGAGAGCCGGGCCCACTGCGTGGACCTCGAGTCAGCCTACGTGCAGGGCTGCGAGCGGCTGGAGCAGGCGGTGCTGGTGAGCGCGGGGTGCCCGGCGGCCGGGTCTGGGGACGCGCACCCCCACGAGGCTGAGGCGAAGTAAGCCTTCACTGTTCCCAGGCAGTGAAGGCCCTGCAGACGGCCACACGGGAGGCCATTGTGCTGCTGCAGGCCATGGTGGAGGAGGTGCGACGCAGCGCTGCGGAGGAGGAGGCCTCCATCCACGCCCTTTTCAGTAGCATGCAGGTGAGGGGCAGCCGGACGCTGAGCATCCTCCTCAGCCGCGACCCAGTGCCCAGGACACAGGGCAGGCCCCCCGCAGCCCTTGCGGAGTTACCAGTGTAGCAGGGCGGCAAGCACTGAGCTATGACCAGGAGCTACTTTATCATGGCCGCCAGGAGGGGTCCAGAGGGGAGTGGGGCCTGGGCAAGGAAGACTTTCCCCAGGAGGGGACACTTAAGGAGAGGGCCCCTGGGCTCTCAGGAAGTACGATGCAGGAAGGAAGCCCTCTGGTTCAGGGAGCATGGCTAGTAGGCTGGAGAGAGCCAGCCGAACCAGCTGCGTGGCTGCGGCCTGGGGGTGTGGGAGCTGCTGGGAGGGGGCGGGGCTGAGCGTGCCCAGCCTGTAGCGGACTGCCCCTCCCAGGACACACTGGCGGAGAGGAAAGCGCTACTGCTGCAGGCCGTGCAGAGGTGAGTGGGGGCAGAGCCTCCAGCCCTGCCCTATCTCACAGCCTGGGCCTGGGCCCATCCTGCCTTCCCCTAGGAGAGGAGGGCAGGGTGGTCCAGGGCACAGGGAAGGGGTGACAGGGAGTGACGTGCAAAGCTGGTGGGCGCAGGGCACTACCTGGTTCTGGTGGGGTGAGCGGCCCTCCCCTTGGAGATGAGGCTGCGTGCCTCTTCCCCAGCCAGTATGAAGAGAAGGACAAGGCCTTCAAGGAGCAGCTCTCCCACTTGGCCACTCTGCTGCCCACCCTGCAGGTAGGAGGAGCTGGGGGTGCAGGGCTGGGAGCCCAGGCCAGAGGCCTCTCTCCCCGCCAGGCACTGAGCAGTATTCCCCTTCCAGGTTCACTTGGTCATCTGCTCTTCCTTCCTCAGCCTAGCCAACAAGGCTGAGTTCCTGGACCTGGGCTATGTAAGTCCCCCCAGGCTCCAGCGGGGTCTCACCCCTCCGCACCAAGAGCAACCTCAGGGTCCCAGCAGCCTGTCACCTGGAGGCTGGACTAGGCTTACCTTGCCCTTCTCCACGCCATTGTCTACAAGCCAGCTGAGTCCCTTTTAAAAGGGCAGGAAAGCATGCAAGGGAGCATTAGCCTCCGCTCCCGCGAAGGACAGTGTCTATTGGAATCCAGCCGCCCCAACATTTCCTGTGGCTCTGGGAGCAGGGGTGGGGCGGGGATGCGGCAGTTGGAGCCTCCTACGGACCCCAGGTGAGGTGCCAGGCAGGCTCGCCCTGGCGGCCTCGCCCTCACTGACCCCATTCCCGCGCCGCAGGAGCTGATGGAGAGACTGCATGGCGTCGTCTCGAGGCCGCATCGCCTCCAGCCCGCGCAGAGCAGCAAGGTGCGCGGGCGGCGCCGGGCGGGCCGGGGCGGGGGCCGCGGGGCCAGGAGGCCGCCTCACTACCCCATCCCGCTGCCCAGATCGCCAGCGACCACTGCGCCGAGTTCGCGCGCTGTCTGGAGCCGCTGCTGCTGCTGGGGCCGCACCCGACGGCGGGTACCGGGGGCGGCGCCAATGTGTGAGCAGCGAGCCCCTTCGGGGTGGCGGGCCGCGAGCTCCTGAGTGTCTGGGCGCCCACGACCCCCCGCGGAAGGATGAGTCCGCCCAGCCGGGCAGCAGACGTCCGGCCGCCAGAATGGAAGCCTGTGGCGGACCTGGCACGAAGCCAGGGCAGGGGAGGGTGTGGGGGCTGCCCCCAATCTCGGCTGCCCAGGCTGGGGCGCCTAGGGACCGAAGGAAACGGACAGCCTGGCGTGGGGCCTGACCTCCGGGCCCTCGTCCTTAGACGGAAACCCAGGCGCAGTTAGTAGTAGTAGCTAAGCTGTGTGTGCCCAGGGCCCCAGGGCCCCAGTCAAGGGAGACTGGGCATCAGGGCAACTCCCAAGGTCCAGGTGTGTGAAGGAACAGTTTACCAGGAACCAGCCCTCGCAACGTCCTGATGGACTCTTTTCTGCACATTAACATCATCCCGGGGACTTTTAAAACTACCATGCTAATGTCATTGGTCTTGGGTGGGGCCCAGGCTTTTCCAGAGAGCCCATGTGGTTCTGGTACCGTCTGAGGTGAGAGGCTAAGAACACTGGGGGGCGGGGGAAGACCCCCCAATACCCCCTTCTGCATCCACACTGGTTCTCTCCCCAGGCTGGCAGGGGGCTCAGGCCCCAAGGTGCTGGTAGGACCCAGCTGCCCTTCCCCAGTGGGAAAGACGGTGGGATCTCCAGTCCCAAAGCCCACACTGCACCGGTCCATCAGCACCAAGGTGCTGCTGGCAGAGGGTGAGGACACGCCGTTCACTGAGCACTGCCGCCACTATGAGGACTCCTACCAGGTGAGGGTAGGAGGGACCTGGCAGCTGGGAAGGGCCCACCCCTTCCTCAACAAGGTGCAGTGACCCAACCTAGTCCTGGCCACCTGGTCTTAAAGCTGTCTCTCCACCAAGGAGCACAGCCTGCAAGAACACCAGGCACTCATGCAGCCTCTGTGCTCAGCTCCTGCAGGCGGAAATGCAGAGCCTGAAGGACCAGGTACAGGAGCTGCACCGGGACCTCACCAGGCACCACGCGCTCATCAAGGCTGAGATCATGGGAGGCATCCTGCACAAGTCCCTGCAGGTGGACGTGCAGATCGCCTCGGAGTACGCCTCCGTGGAGGGGATGCGAGCAGTCTTCCAGGAGGTAGCCCTCCTGAAGCAGCCAACTTCCCCCATGTTCCTCCGGTCAGCATACACGTGGGTTACCCCGAGACAGAAAGGGGAGGAAGACCTTGGCCTGGTGCCCTTGAAGCCCTTGTGTGGCAGGCTCCGTTGCTGCCTGGAACCGAATGAACTGGCTTCAGGGTGCCCTATGACTGCGCAGCTAGAGGTTGGGAATGCCGCCAAAGGAAATTCCAAATCATGGCCACACACTACGTCCCACTTACTTTCTCTTTCAGATTTGGGAGGAATCCTACCAGCGGGTGGCTAATGAACAGGAGATTTATGAAGGTCTGAGGCAACGACTGCTGGGTGCCTTCCTGTCCTGGAGCTAACTAACCTGTGTGCTAGCAGGAGCATGGAGTCAGGGAACCATTAACCAGATGCAAACCCCCATGCTTTTCCCCTTAGCCGTGACTTTGCCCCACAACTGCTAACTGGCCCCCAAACTATGCATCTGAGGTCAGGACTCAGTAAGTAGAATGCCTTCACAAGCCTTACCTCACTCTTTAATTAAAAGGTAGTCACTGAAATAGCTGGGATATCTAGATGGTTCCAGGCTTGAGAGTAAGAACCTGAAGCCAACAAGACCCAACACTCTGGCATTGGCCCCCACAGCCCAGCTCCGCGACCTTCTTCAGCTGAAGCAGGAGAATGCCTACCTGACCACAATCACCAAGCAGATCACACCCTACATCAGGTCCATTGCCAAGGTGAAGGAGCGGCTGGAGCCCAGGTGAGGCCAAGGGTGTTTCCAGGGGAGACAAGACATTTGAGTGTGGAAAAGATGCCACACCTTTGGAAGAGTCCCTTTCAGGGAAGCCAGTAAGCCAGGTCATGAGGGTTTAATCAGGGCATCTGGGTGGACCAGGTGCTAGCCATCTTCAGAAACAGATAATGAGTAGGCTGTTGTAGAGTTTCTGCTTCTAGGCAATCATCCACCTCTAACGCAAGAGGTCAAAGTAGAAGACATTTCTTGGGGGTGTAAGGACACTTCTGAGTCAGTCTCAGCTGATTGTAGCATCAGGACACGGAGGCGAGAGCAAAACTTCCTCAGTATGTGGTTGGGTCAAGCGAATCTACAGTAGCACCTGGACCAGACTCTCAGCACTGTACTTGACCATCAATAGGTGTTAGTGGTAGAGGGATCTTGGTGTCGGGTCCTCAATGTGTCCATCTCTCGAGTCACTCTGGGCCTGAAGGTGGGCTGGTTGCCGTGTAGGTCTGGTGTACAGTAGTCAGCCAGGGCTCTACCTCCACCACCCTTCTGGGGACTCTTGCTCCTGAGGTCTCTGGTTTCCTACACATCACATTTCCTCTTTCATGATTTGGGGAGCCCACCCCTCAGTATATCCTTCAGAAAGGGCTCACAGGAGGTACATATTTTGGGCAGCACAAGTCTGAAATGCCTTCATTCTGCCCTCACTCTTGACTGATCATTTTGCTGGGTATAGAAGTCTAGCTTGAAATTCTAGATTGGAAACAATTATTCGAAGCATCCCTGCATTGTCTTATAGTTTCCAAGGTTGCCTTTGAGAAGTTTGAGGGCATTCTGACACTTACCCTCTTTAGAGGCTTATGGAGTCTTATCTGCTTACAGTATTGTGAAATTTCATGTTGGTGAGGGTCTATTTTCAACCATTAGTTGGGTACGGCTGGGTCCTTACAATCTAGAAATTCATATGCTTCAGTTTTAGCATATTCTTTGAAGTGGTTAGTTTATTTCTTCATTTTCTCATTTTGGAATTCCTATTATTAGATATTGGCCTTCCTGGGCTGGCCCTCTGATTTGCCTTTTCAGTCCTTTCTTCTATGTCTTTGTGTTTTTTCCTGTACAAATTTTCCTTACTTTTTCTTCCAATCTTTCTATTGTTTTCATTTCTGAAGAAAACTTCCAAGAGCTTGTTTTTAAACTTTGTTTTTTATTCCCAAGAGTTCACTTTTGTTTTATAGACATGGTACCTCACCCCTCTGAGGCTGACAGGTACTTTGCTGTTAAGTTTCCTTCTCTATGAAATCTATTTCCTCTAAATTATTTTTGTTTAGATTTCCATCTTCCATATTAAAAGGCTTTTCTGTGAGAACTTTTGATGATCTGCTCATGTTAGGAATTGGTGGGGGAGCAGACTGGATGCTCTGAGCCCATGGGTAGTCCTTTACTGCAGGAGATCTAGGTTAGCAGGGTTTGGGTTTTTTTTTTTAGGTCTTTCCCCAGTTTCCTTCCTGAAAGACCACTGTCTGGAGCATCTGCAGACACTCCTACTTTCCTACTTTCAGTAGTTCTCACTGTATAAGTGCCCCTGAGACCAACCGTTTAGTCCTCTTGGTGGAGGGGACTGGGACAGAGGCTCTCTACAGAAGGGATCCTGTCACTGTCCTCGCTGGTTCAGTTCCACCCCCCCCTGTTGCAGAGGCAGGGGAGTTGTCAGTTCCTGAGCCCCTGAGGACTGTGCTGTGAAACAGTCATGCCTCAGCCCGTGCAGCTGTCTGCATTCTTGGGTCTGTTAAGTTGGTCACCACTGCTCCACATGCTGTCCAGTGTTCAAACTCAGGCACTATCATTCCTGTTCTCCACTTGGAGAGGCCACTTCCCCTCATTTGTTTTGTCCCTTTACTGGGGTTTTAGCGAGTTTGGGGCAGAAGGAAAATCAGAGTGTGTGTGTGTGCAATCATCTCATTGATCCAGAACTGCCAAGCAACCTAAGTGACTGTTCCAACATGTTACACTGAGAGGTTAAACTCAGCATACCCTTTACACAATTTTGATTGAATCCCTGTCTACCCAGGACTAGCTGCAGTATTTCCTTCTAAACTGGCATTTGAACTTTATTCCAGATGCTGGGTGATTCCATTTATAAAACCTCAGAACCAGGCACAGCTCTGGTGTTAGTGGTCAGGATGGTGATCATCCTGGGGGGCCTCTGGGTGGGGCTGATGTTCTGCATGCCACCTACCCAGCTTGTTTATAGTGTATCATGCATCGCTTGTGTGCTTTTCCTTCTCTGTTCTCTGCTTGGGTGTCCCCTTGGGGGACAACATGCATCTCAGGGGAGGACGGTGGTCAGTCTCAGCCAAGGGAAGGAGCTCAGGCTGGAGCCTAACTCCTGGAGGTTTGGAAGAAGGAGGGAGACCAGCTCTGCCCCTCTTCACAGCAGTTTTCCAGATGTCTAGAGGTGCTGACTCTGCTTCCTCATCTCCCACTGCTGGAAACCCCCTCCAACTCCACCCTCCCCCAAATCTGCTCTGGTTCCAGTGGTCAGGACCTCCAGGCTGCTCCCCTGGGCTTCTGAGCAGCGCTCAGGAGCATGTACGGTTCGTGTGCATGCTCCTCACAATGCTCTGCATTTGCTCCTGAGACACCCCCCACTCCAGGTCCCCTCCTGCCCCTCCAGCCGTCCCTTCTTACTCTCTCACTGGCTCTGCCTCCTGGGCTCAAAGCCCAAACTGAACTTTCCCCAGGGCCCAGTCCTAGGCATTCTTGCTGCTTTAAACACTCTCCTTAAGGGGCTTCATCCAGTCCCCCAGCTTTAAAACCCCATCACGATGCAGACAACCCCGTCCCTCCCCCCAGCTGCCCCTCCCTGGGGGCCTTGGCTCAGGTGCCTCAGAGCCCACAGGGCCAGTGAAACTCAATTTCCTTGTCCAGACAGCAACTCCTGGTCCACTTCAGCAAATGCATCACACTTACCCAGATGCCCAAATGAAAGGCCTGGGACACCCTGCATTTCTTTCCCTCCCTACCCCCATTTCCAACCATCCCCAAGTCCTGTTGACATGACTAGCTCAGTCCACCCACTTTGTCTCCACTGCCATACCAATCCAAGCCACCATCCCCGACCCTCCCTCCATATCCACCCACTGCCACAGTATGTCACAGAGCGAGTGGTCTTTCTAAGGCCTATAGCTCCCATCACACCAGGGCCTGACAGCCCTCTGGGGACCCTCCCTGCCCACCACTGACCACGTAGGCCCCTCACCACACCCCAATCACAATGACCTTTCAGTTCCCTAAAGAAACTAGACTGCTTCCCACTTCCCAGTTTCTGCCCGGATGTTCTTGCTTGAGATTGTCCCATGGGTCCTCGTCATTCAGGTCTCAGCTTGAATGTCAACAGTGAGGCCCTTCCAAACCACCCGATTCAAAGCCCGTCTCCACTCACTGTCACTCCCATCACCTGGCCCTGCTGTGCCTTCTACCCAACCTAGGTGTGCCTCCCTGACCAGAATGTAGCTTCCATGGGAGCAGGGCCTGGCCTCTCTTGTCCACTGCCTCAACTCCAGCCCTCAGGATTTGGGGACCAACATGCTAGGCTGGCCCTTAAGTGTTTGCTTAGATTTGGATTTTGCTCAAAGAGTGAGCTTCAGGACACACAGTGGGCCAGCTCTGCTGTCTTCAAGACTCCTGGTGACTGCCTTCTCTCATACAGGTTTCAGGCACCTGTGGACGAACAACAATCAGAGCATCTACAAAGCATGTATGACAGTATGAATGAGGAGGCCCAGGCCAGGTAAATCAAGTCTTTTCAACCTGAATGGGCAAATGATTCAATATCAGAGACAAATGTGGAGGACAAAGACCCCAGATTTTTTCCCCCTTTGGGCCCAGCTTGCTGCTGCGAATCAGCTGTATACGCTGGGTCTGTTTGTAAAATACGCGGTCAGAGAGGTTCTTAGCCTGGATGGTGACTTCAAACAAGTGATTTCATAGATGACAAATGTGAGTTTGATGGACACGACTCACATTCTGTCATTAGGAACGGCATGGCTGCTGCCTGCACCGCTCACAGCTCCAAGGACAGCAGACACTGCAGACTGGCTCGTAGGCACTTAGGCCAAGTGACTTAAATTCATTTTTGTGAGAAGAGTGGCTGGGGATTATTTCTTGGTGTGAGAGCATTACTATTCAGGGGAGCCGCAGTGTTTGCCAAAATACCTGCCCAGGGAAGTAGCGACAGATACATCACAGTCACAGGCTGACCATTCAGTGTTTCGCTCAGTTAAATGTGTTCGTTAGGGTGGCGTCAGGGTGGAAGGGCCTAGACGGCGTGGAGGTCTGCTGCTGTCAGGTCACAGACGACACAGTGACAGAGCAGAAACCATCCCACCCTCCAGGCACGTTTAGCTTCATGTGTCAGGGGAGTGTCAACTCAAAGCTTGTTGTCACAGCCACCGACGTAGCCTGAACTGCTGATGTTCTGGCAACTGGAAATCATCAGAAATGAGAGAAGTATCCTTTAGTAAAAAAAGAATTTTTTTTACCAGACATTCACAGGTGCCTTCCAGAAAGGCTTTCCATCCCGAAAGCCTTGGCCAGGGTGGATGTTAGGGCTGGGATGCAGTGAAGGGGGGCAGTGAGCAGAACTCATGTCAAGTGTTCCTTTAGGAACGATCCAGTGAGTGTCAAGGAGAAAAGAGAGAAGACATCAGAGCCTAGAGCCAACAGCCAGACTCTGAGCACCCCCACAGAAGAGGCTCCACTGAGAAATAAAGATTCTCATAGACCCAAACAGAAAAATGGGGGTGACAGCCCCACGTGGAGAGAGCACCCAACTTAGCAATGGGACTGGTCCCGGGGCTTGGGCATTTTACAGCATGCACATCAAGACAAGGATGTTTAAGAAAAGGTTGTTCCCATCATGATTACTTCTTAAAACAGTAACCATTTATCAGCGGAAACTCTGACAGGTCTCATTTCAGATTCCCTGGCTTGAGCTAAGCTTCTAACTTCCCTGTGTTCACAATGCACGAAGTCCTGGTCCTCATCACAGTGACCTGGGATGATGTGCCAGCCCCTGGGGAAGGCATCCGTCTCCCCAGGAACCCGCTCTCCTGTCAGGGTGCTCGGTCTGACTTTCAGATAGCACAACTCCACCCCATGCAGCACCTGCCCCGCCTCAAGGGATGGGGCTCCTCCTGCAGCACAGCCCACTGCTAGCCAGGCCACTGGAAAGGTCCCCCACCCACTGAGCGCTGACTCAGCATGAGGGAGAAGCCTGCGCCCCGGCTCTTCTCCCTGTAGGGAAGGGAGCAGAGCACAAGCTCTTGGCGGGGGCCATGGCAGGAGATGGCACACCACAGCCTCTCCACACCTGGCAGACGGCTGCCACTCTCCTGCCTCCACTTTCTGTGGACATTAAACCATGATTCCACAGCAATTTTTCTCTAATAGCTTTCCATTCCTACACAGTACCTTTTTTCTCAAGTGTGACTTAATAAATGCTTCAAAAGGAAAATTAATCTGAATGACCTAAAATTTAAGTTTTGGAGGCAAAATGTTGCCCAGATTGTTACATTTTAAGCAAATATCCAGTTTGATTCAGTGATTCAAACAGTGAGTGGCTTCAGTGTGTCAGTCAGGCGTGCGTATCAGTACATCAATACCCAGCGCCTCTGTGCCTGCCCTCAGAGCACAGTGTGCTCCTGCCGAGGCATCAAAGCCCAAGGGGCCTCAAGGGCAAGAAGAACAAGTCATTACAAACTGGTTAGAGGCATGAATGCAATGCAGACCCCAACTGGGTAGGCAAAATACATCTGGTTTTAATGCTGTAGGTTCTCAACATTTCTTAGCTAGAAACATGATCGTAGGAGTTTCTATCTCCTATACAATTACAATACTGTTCATAGTGAAATCAAGTACAGTTTTATTTAAGAACTGGAAATAATCAGTATATGTGAAAGAAAGCCAAATTTAAAATATTTAAATAAACATTTCCCCATGTAAAAAGAGTAGAATAATTACTCCACTGAGTTCATCTCCTAGCTACAGGACAGCTTCCTCCAAAGCACGCACGTGGGGCCACTCCTGACGGCAGGTCCACCAAGCCCAGGACAAGGCGCCAAGCTTTCATAGCAGGGCAGAGAGAGCAAGCCTCTCCCAGCACACTGGAGGTGCCAAGTCCCTACAGAAGGATACGCAGCGGGAGAGCACAACTGCCTAAGGCAGCAAGAGCGTGCAGAGGAGCCACAGGGGTTTCCTGAGCCTGTTACGGAGGGACTGCTACCAGAATGAGCTCGGGCCGAAACCCCGCAGAGCTTCAGCTATCCACACAACGCACTTGGTTTGGGGCTGTTTTCCTCCTCATGTCGATCACCCAGAGTCTTAAATAGAAAGAATTAGTAAAGTTTACTGTTTTAGCTGGAGAAACAGTTCACACCAACAAAGGGCAGCGGGGTACCCCGCCTCTGCCTTCCGCAGGCTTCCCCCCCACTCGCCCTGTCTTCTGTAAAGTGCCACTCCGCAAACGCTCATCAAATGTCTCCCTTTATCTGCTTTAGAGTAGCTTTGTTCTGTCCTGTGCCTGTTTTCCCTTTAAGAATCTCTACTTTAAAACCTGTAATGGAAAAAGAAATCTCTTGATAGTTTCCTAATTTGAGGGAACTGGTGATGTGGCCTTTACCCAAAAAGCTTTCGGGAATACCCAAAAAGCCAGTACCTCATTAACCTGATTCTCTGCTGTGTACACTGTCACTGCTAAATTTATAGCGTTAAAAATAATCTGAAGACCTCAGCACCAGATGAAAGCCAACCACTTACCAAATCCTGCCTCTAAGTAGTTCATTTCTTATTCCTAAGTAATTGCTGACTTCTGCCCTGGGATTACAAACCAGGGTGGGAATGTTCTCTACTCCTGCCCATGGAATCACTCTTTAAAGTGAGAACATGTCAAGCCCCCGATGGTATATGGCAGCCTCTTACTGAGAAACACTGAGGCCTACCATCTGAGCTTGAAGGCCTGGCAGAAGGGTGGGCTTTCTGAACTCCGGCAGGCAGAGGAAGTACGGGTCAGCAAATGCCAATGCCTTGGGTCTTACTGTCCCCAAAGCCAGGGGCTGTCATTAGCTGCTCTCCATCTATTAAGAAGACAACTTCAGAGCCCCTGGTGGGAATGAAAAGCTGGGTCCAGTCCCGCTAGATACAGCAAGAAAGAACATTCCCCTCAAAGAGCTGGGGGTGTCTGCCAAAACCCCAGCTCTACCTTCCTCCAGTTTCTCCAGTTCACACCCCTACTAGGTGGCGTCACTTCGCTAAGCGTGGTCTGCAGAACAAGTTCAGAACTGATTCGACTCAGGCTCCCAGAGTGAGTGCGTGCTGATGTCCCACTGGGGAGCGTTGATGTTGGAGGAACCCTTTGCAGAGAGTTCCCGAAGCAGTTCTGTGAGAGCCGGTGGGCCAGTCAGCTACTCCTCACACCAGCCAGTGTCACACCAGCAATCAACAAACCCACAAACCTCTTTGGTATATATAACAACGAAAAAGTTAATCAGGCCATGAAATCTAGAAATAAGTAATATTTCTGAGTTGGTAAAATGCTCTTTGACCACACATTTCTGGTATCTGATACAGTTAACCAAATGTCCATTTTTGCATAACTCTTATACAGTGTATATTTCATTTATGTCATCTAAGTATTAAAAAATTTGACATTGTTCCTCTAAGCCTTCACACCTGTGAGGTAGGTGGTATTGACCCCATTCTACATATGGGGCGGTCTAGGCACAGAAAGGTTAAGTGGCTCCTGGAAAGCCGCGTGGCGTGACATGGCATGGCATGGCGTGGTGGCACAGCAGCGCTCTGGCCAGGGGCCACCACTGCCTTCACACTCACGCTTCCTTAGCGCCACCACAGACCACAGAACTGCATGGATTTCACACGGAGACCAAGTTCCTATCTGGTCCAGAATTAAACAAGAGTCATAAAGCTCATGTTCGACTCATAAAGCCAACCATTCTCCCCAAACTTGAAAAACAAAAATACTGACTAAATGTCCATTGAGATCAGTTGCTCTATTTAAGACTTTTATGAGTCAGCTTGCTTGAATTTTGTAGTTGTATATGTTTAAACCCCTTTGGAAAAGATAGTTTAAAATGGCATTAGGGATGGTGGAAATTTGAGAACAGAACATAGGAATCAATAGATAATAGATTTAAATTGAAACACAAAAATAAAAGGTATGGTAAAATAAAATCAATCCCAAATAAACGGAGAGCAGTATTTCTCAACATTTAACAGTGCCTTGCAGAGCAGGTGTTCAGGAAGCATTTCTTGGATAAAGGAAAAATGACACATCTTTGACACTTGCACTGATAACAGCCCCCTCCTGGGAGAAGAGCAGAGCCAGGACCTGGGGAAAGGCACAGGGGCCCAGCCTCCCTGGCCTGGGGTGCTCTGGTATCAGCCAAATTGTCTGGAGGTCTCCATGCTGCCTTTCTGCCAAATAAAAGTTGTGGCTTTAAACACCAAGTGAGTCCCCTTTGAAGTTATACTGCTATTTATAAAAAATAGATATGTAAGTAGGATTAAATCTATGAGAAGCGAAAGTGCTTGTAAGGAAGCGTCATTAACCTTGTGCAGATGCTCATGCACTGGAGGACAGGAGTAAGGTCAAAGCTGTGCAGTCCGTGTCTTGTTTAAAGATTCTGAATGCACTTCTAACACTAGGAAGCACAGGTGCCCACACCCCCATCCCGCTGAGGAAGCCCTACCCGGTGTAATAAGTCAGTCCCCTCTCCCAACAGGTCTTGGCTACAACCTAAATACACTGTGGCCTTGTGGGGGTGGCGCATAGCCCAGCACTTCCCACAGGGCACTTCCACAGGGGCACTGTTGAATATTGCTGTTATTTGCTCCTTGTCCATCTTTTATCTGCACCATACCTTGATTCAGCCCAAGAACAGATGCTCCAGGGTAGGGTCTTTTGGTCCTAAGGCTTCTGACCATTTGGTCTTGAGTGATTTTCCAGTAGAATTATTGGTGACATATAAAATGATTAGGAAAATCCATTCTGCAGAGTGGCCAACCAGAGGCAGTTCTGTCCCAGGATGCATGGAGTGGGCGGCCCCTCAGCCCAGCCTGCCAGCCCCTGGCACGTCATAGCTCCATCTTGACCCCCTTTATAAAAGGCAGGCCTGTGGGTACCTGCTTCTTATACTCCAGGTACTCCTCTCCAAAAAAGTGAATTAAGGAGATTTCCTCCTCTTCTGTTCGATCCCGGAAGAAGCGCCACACTGTCAGAGCATAGCCGACGCCACAGATGGGATTGCACAGCATCACCTGATGGGGACACGAAGTTGATCGGGGTCAGAGTGATCTGACGTCATGAACTTTAGCGGCCCCTGCTCCTTTCAAACACCCTCAGAGGACCTCCTGCCTGGAGCCCAAGAGGCTTGGAAATACAATCAGAGTCTTTGGGAGCCAGGGCCAGGGTCCGGGCCCTGTTAGCTGAAATCACACCAGTGCTGTCACACTAGTACTAGACTCATCACTGCAGCTTCCTTCCCTATTGTCCTCTTCCGTTGCAAGACGTCAAAAAGTTAAAAGGCAAGATCAGCCTCTCAGATCCCCACCCTCAAGCTGGGGTGATGGCAACTCGTCCTCCCACCCCAACAGGTGACGCCTCATTCTGGGTTCCTGCCTCCCCACTGGGATCCCAGCCCAGACTCCACCACATCCTAACACACTCCCTGCACCTCACAGCTGCCCAGTCCCCCGCCCCAGGCCCCCAGAGGCCAGAGACACTGCTGCCTACCCAAGCTTCTGAAATCACACTCCTGCTCAGAAAGCCCTGACGCCAAACCTGGGAAGGCAGCACCTCAACTGCCTCCTCCCGCCCCTTCCCCTTGGCTTTATCGACTTTGACTGCCTCTTACCTCCTTACTTACATGGCTTTTCCACTTCTCAGACCCTCTTCCCTACTGATCCATTGCCAAACAGTCCTGCAGGCCAAGAGTACTCAGGGCACTTCCTGTGCTATGTGGGGAACCCACTAACCCACCCGTCCACTCAGACTGACCCCTATGGACATGGATCTTCCCCAAGTGGGTGACCTCCACCGGAAGAACCAGGCAGATGCCCTCAAGTTCTTATTCCCCTCACTGTTTACTAAGAGTTTACTGTGTCCCCAGCACATGCTAAGCTCCTGAACTGACAAGCTATTCGACTCCCATGGCAAACCTCTGGGGTACCCCTGCCGTCGCCACGTAACACATGAAAAAAGGGAGGCTAAGCAGTCAACATGAGAGCCAGGACTGGCCTGGTCAGCAACCCTAGCACCTGTGCCCTCACAGCCAGCAGATGTGGGTGACCTCTTGGGGTGCCCTGCAGAGGGGATTCCCAGGTACACATTGCAACCCATTACTGAGACATGAAATCAATTCAGTGAGTCATCAACAGCACCACAGATAATAGTAAAATAGAAAATAGTTTTGTGCACAGTAAGGTCAAGTATTGTTCGAACAAA